TATATATATATATATATATATATATATATATATATATATATATATATATATATATATATATATGTTAAACAACAAAGAAGCTTAAACCACTCGCACCTATCCGGTAGGTAAGGGAGATTTATTCCAGTCCCATTTCCTAAATTCTGTTGCTGAACTAATGGTCAGCAATAAAAAAAATGTCGGAGATTCGTGGATGACAGTGTGTACGGGTAAACGGGGAAAGCAGAACACACGCAGTAAAGCAACCTGCAGAAAATAAGAAAACCGTAGATATTTGACAATTTCCTGCTCGGAATGCGGAAGATAAAACATGATACGCTCGTTCCATTTGATCGTTTGAATCAAACGGAGCCACAATTCCATCGACCGATTGCAATCTTGGTACAGGATAGGTAAAAATGCACTTGTCATGTCATGGTGGCTTTGCTCGATTCCGGTTTTCCCCAATCCAGCTACAGAAACACACTTTTATTATTATTATTTATTATTATTATTATTATTTGACGAACCCCATTCCGACAGTCTTTTGATTTTTATCATGTGAATTTGTGGTTCCTTTCCGTACTGCCATCTGCGTAATAGCAAATAGCTATTTCAAAATGAGTCAATTAAATATTGTAATAATTTCCATTTTCACAGATTTATTTTATTGTGTATAATCGTATCTGTGGCTGTGTTTGTCTGATCACGTTCACAAAAACAAGTGTACTTATATAGAATGTGGTTTCCGATTTGCAAAACCGGGAATTTCCGTAAAAATTGTAACACTATTTGGTCAGATGAACTTTTTCATTTTGTCTAATGTGTTATGGGATGGAAGTCGAGGAGAAGGATAGCACTAAGTAGCCATATATAGTTTCCGGGGATAAGGAGACGTTCAAGGTCTGCGGAATTTTAAAAGCATCCATAGATTCAGTAGCGAATTAGGTTCTTAGTAAATTCTGTACAACCAAATATTGTTTCTAGTAGCATGCATGTTAAGCAAAATGCCGTATTGAAAGAAACTGTTGTGGGAATAGAGAAACCGAAAATTCAAAAATATTTTCTTTTAAAAAGTTGAAAGTGATATCTTTAACTATTTGAAATCTGATTTTCTTACCATTATTATTTACTTTATATTGAGCCAAATGATTTAAATCCCAACGTCTAGATCTGTTGGAAACTCGCTTTTTTGAACTGCAAATATGATGTTTTGATTGATTCGCTGGAAGACTACCTGCTTGATCGACGTCTTCTATGTAGCTCTGTCCGATACTTATTCGGTCGGCATGTAGCGACAATGTCTTTTTGTTTGGTTAACAAATAGAAGTCTGATCAGTATTTCGTTTTACTTCAACCGGTTTTTTCGGGAAGGAAAAGTTGAATTGATCTTCTGATTTTTTGAGAGTAGAATGGCACAGGATTGGTCCCCAGAGTTAGCCAGCATTTGTGCGGGTGCACTTCTAGCTTTTGCAGGGCAGCTATGTATCGTGCACTATTTTAAGCGATGCTCCATGTGTTCAGTAGAAACGAATACAATTCAGAAATGCTGGTGCTTTCTTTAAAGCCGTCGAAACAGGCGTATAAATTAGCAGCTTTTTTGGAATGCTTTGTGCCTTCTCATCGGAGTTTACGGGCCTCGATTAACCTCAAGTTGGTTCAGCCTGCTCCGTACCCTTTATGGCACCCCCGGCTTGTCAAACGGTTTGTTGTGGTGTGACCGTTGATGCGTATTTAACGTCTTGACCCCACAGGTGACAGTTGGTTTGATGATGGAGATTGCCGAATTGCAATATGCTTTGAGGAACGCAGTAGTCTGAGAGCTCACATGAGCTTCTCCTATGGGTTACCCATGGTAGGACTAGAGGACTTATGTTGTAACAATGAATTAGCAATAATCGGGACAAATTCAAATTACTCCTCCAAACGAAGAGCAGTCACAAGATATGATCTCGTGATTCGACTATTGCTGTAGGCGAATAAAATAGACTGCAAATGACTTACAAAACGTGATACTTTATACTAGAACGGACAAACAAATTCATTTTGAACGTGTTTTTCCACTAAACCCTTGCAGTAACCCGTGTTAT